CTCTGACCAGACTCTACCATCTCCACCATACTCTGACCAGACTCTACAATCTCCACCATACTCTGACCAGACTCCACTGCCTCCTCTCTTTTTATTACAGCATTTTCCTACGTTACATGGACGTGCAGCCTCTAAGGGAGGGGATCACACAGGCTGCACGCAGGTGTAGCTTAATATTACATTATATCCAATGTTATATCCAAGTTCAGTCAGGCGCTCCAATGGGTGAGAACCGAGGAACTTGGCCTTCTCACGGTTCTACTCTCAGCTGCTGTTTTGCTGTAGATGCCGCATCTGGTTAGTCTGGTATCTGGTATCGCATCTGGTTTAAAATCTGCTTACACAAGCACGTTTGTTATTCATGCCAACACAATGAAAGTTCATAATGTTCTGATTGAGAGTACATCATGTTCTGATAACAACAGGTTTAGAATGATAGATACAAAAAGAACACGGAGTACAGGCTTCCTCCATTTTTTATGATAACCTACAGTTGGGGAAATAAGTATTTGACCCCTTGCTGATTTTGCAGGTTTGCCCACTTACAAAGAATGCTTACTTTTCCTCATCAGATGGTTATCAATTTTTTTAAATTCATATGATGTGATTTTCTGGAATTTTCTTTGGGATTCTGTCTTTCATTGTTAGAATTTACATATGATTAAAGTTATAGATCGTTGCATTCTTTGTAAGTGGGCAAACCTGCAAAATCAGCAAGGGGTCAAATACTTATTTCCCCCACTGTATGTACAGTGACTCCAACAATTTCGGTCTCCCGACAGGCGGCAGCAGCTTGGAGGTGAAAGAGAATCGGGACGAGGCCCTACAGAAGAGCCCCCCGTCGTCGTTCTGTGTCCCAGGTGCCAACCATAACAACCGGGACAACTGTGAGGGGCCGAGGGCCCTGAGGCAAGGCCAGGCAAGGCAAGGCATTTTTATTTATATAGCGCAATTCATACCAAGCGGCAACTCAATGTGCTTTACATTAAGACAAGACATTTTAAATAAAAAAGGACAGCATAAAACAGCATAAAAAAAACAAACAAAAAAAAAAACAATTTTTAAAAAAAGGTTGAAACACAGTTAAAAGCAGGAACAAAGGAAAAAGCAATATGTTTGTTACAGCTCCAGTGCTTTTGCAAAACCAAGATTACAATGTTAAAAAGAACATATTAAAAAAGTATTTAAAAAAGCTCAGACATAAGCACATGAGAAGAGAAATGTTTTTAACCTGGATTTAAAAGTGCTTACAGTTGGGGCTGTTTTGAGTTCTGCTGGTAGCTTGTTCCAGTTGTGTGCAGCATAACAGCTAAACGCTGCTCCACCGTGTCTGGTTTGAACTCTGTGCTCCACTATCTGACCTGAGTCAGTAGATCTCAGAGCTCTACTGGGTTTATACTCTACTAACATGTCGTTCATGTATACTGGACCTAAACCATTCAGTGATTTATAAACCAGTAGCAGAACTTTCAAATCTATTCTGTAGCTGATAGGGTTGTCACGATACTAAAATTTTCAACTCAATACCGATACTCAGGAAAATACTCGATACTCGATACCATTTTCGATACAACAAGGATAAAAACAAAGACCCCAACATTTAACTGAATTGTGTCTTTCATTTCAAACTGCCCAAATACATAAATAAATCAGAGAGAAGGGGGAGGGGTGGTATCGATACTTTTGAAAATGCGTATCGTATCCGGATACAACATTTTAGTATCGATACTTTTTTGAGTATCGATGCATTTGACAACCCTAGTAGCTGACTGGGAGCCAATGTAAAGACTCGAGAACTGGGGTGATATGCTCTGATCTCTTTGTTTTTGAGGAGGAAGAGGCGGGCGTCCTGCTGGGCGGTGAAGCAGAAGAGCGCGGTGGTGCAGCTGAACGAGCTGCGTCCGGGCCTGAGCTACGCGGCGCAGGTCGACGGCGCGCGCTTCGAGGGCCGCGGTTCCACCAAGAAACAGGCCAAGGCGAGGGCGGCCGCGCTGGCTCTGCGCTCCTTCGTCCAGTTCCCCAACGCGCCGCAGGCTCACGCCTGCCCCCAGGGCGCCATCACTTTTATCCCACAGGGCTCCACCACCTTTAGCCCCCAGGGCGCCACCACTAGCCCACAGGACTCCTTTAGCCCACAGGGCGCCACCTTTAGCCCACAGGGCGCCAACACCTTTATCCCCCAGGGCTCCAACACCTTTAGCCCACAGGGATCCACCTATAGCCCACAGGGCGCCTTTAGCCCACAGGGCTCCACCTTTATCCCCCAGGGCGCCACCACCTTTAGCCCACAGGGCGCCAAAACCGGCTCACAGGGAGCTATGACTGGAAAACAGGGCGCCTTTATCCCACAGGGCGCCATCAGCCCCCAGAGCGCCTTTATTAGCCCACAGGCCGCCACCTTTAGCCCCCAGGGCTCCACCACTAGCCCCCAGGGCGCCACCTTTAGCCCCCAGGGCTCCAACACCTTTAGCCCACAGGGCGCCACCACATTTAGCCCCCAGGGCTCCACCACTAGCCCACAGGGCTCCACCACCTTTAGCCCACAGGGCGCCTTTATCCCAAAGGGCTCCACCTTTACCCCCCAGGGCTCCACCACCACTAGCCCACAGGGCTCCACCACCTTTAGCCCACAGGGCGCCTTTAGCCCACAGGGCTCCTTTATCCCCCAGGGCTCCAACACTAGCCCACAGGGCTCCACCACCTTTAGCCCCCAGGGCGCCACCACTAGCCCCCAGGGCTCCACCACCTTTAGCCCCCAGGGCGCCACCACCTTTAGCCCCCAGGGCTCCACCACCTTTAGCCCCCAGGGCGCCAAAACCAGCTCACAGGGCTCCACCTTTAGCCCACAGGGTTCCTTTAGCCCACAGGGTTCCTTTAGCCCACAGGGCGCTATCAGCCCACAGGGCACCAACACCTTTAGCCCACAGGGCGCCTTTAGCCCACAGGGCGCCATTAGCCCACAGGGCGCCAACACCTATAGCCCCCAGGGCTCCACCACCTTTAACCCACAGGGCGCCAACACCTTTAGCCTGCAGGGCTCCACCACCTTTAGTCCACAGGGCGCCATTATCCCACAGAGCGCCTTTAGCCCCCAGGGCTCCACCTTTAGCCCCCAGGACTCCTTTAGCCCCCAGGGTGCCTTTATCCCCCAGGACTCCACCTTCAGCCCCCAGGGCTCCACATTTATCCCCCAGGGCTCCACCATCTTTAGCCTCCCGGCGGTGCTCCACCGGCTGCTGCCGGGGCTCCGGTACGTGTGCCTGAGGGAGCCGGGGGGGGCCGTCGTCATGGCGCTGCGGGCGGGGGGGCGGGTCTTCGAGGGCTGCGCCCGCAGCAAGCGGCTGGCCAAGGCGCGGGCGGCCGCCGCCGCCCTGCGGACGCTAAACGGCCTCCAGGCCAGCAGGACCCAGACCCAGCTGCCCCAGGTGGGTTCTTCTGTCACTGCAGGTATTCATGCTCTGAGAGCGTCCAGGGTTTCTGTCCTGGGGGGCCTCAGACTATTGAGGGGGGGGCCACAGGGAAATGTGTGTTTGTAAATGCCCTCTGGCTTCTTCTTCTCCTTTGCCTGCTGTCTTTTTCCTCTTGCATCTGGGAGCCTATCTCTGCAATTTCCCCGAAATCCTGAAACCTAAACCCTGGATTTGGTGCAAACTGGGTCCTACAGACTCGTTCTGGGTCCTACTGACTCATTCTGGGTCCTACAGACTCATTCTGGGTCCTATAGACTCATTCTGGGTCCTATAGACTCATTCTGGATCCTTCTGGGTCCTACTGACTCATTCTGGGTCCTACAGACTCATTCTGGGTCCTATAGACTCATTCTGGGTCCTATAAACTCGTTCTGGGTCCTACAGGCTCAGGTTCTTCTGTCACTGCAGGTATTCATGCTCTGAGAGCGTCCAGGGTTTCTGTCCTGGGGGGCCTCAGACTATTGAGGGGGGGCACAGGGAAATGTGTGTGTTTCTAAATGCCCTGTGGCTTCTTCTTTTTCTTCTTCTTTTCCTTTCCCTGCTGGCTTTGTCCTGTTGCTTCCTAAACCCTGGATTTGGTGCAAACTGGGTCCTACAGACTCATTCTGGGTCCTTCTGGGTCCAATAGACTCATTCTGGGTCCAACTGACTCATTCTGGGTCCTACAGACTCATTCTGGGTCCTTCTGGGTCCTACAGACTCATTCTGGGTCCTTCTGGGTCCTACAGACTCATTCTGGGTCCTTCTGGGTCCTACAGACTCATTCTTGGTCCTACTGACTCATTCTGGGTCCTACTGACTCATTCTGGGTCCTACAGGCTCATTCTGGGTCCTACAGACTCAGTCTGGTTTTCCCCCTAAATCCTAAACCCTGGATCTGGGGGGCTGGTCTCTAAACTGATCTGGTCCCGTTGGGACTCCCCCTGCTGGTTAAACTGTGGACCCCTGGAACAAAAGGAGGCTTTTCTGCCTTTCTGGAGTCCAGATGGAAAAATACAAAGACATATAAGCTAGTAAATAAGCGCTAGTTCAGTTCTCCCTGTTCACTCAGGACGTAGCAGCTAACGTTGGCTAAAGCTAACCTAGCTGGCTAGCTGTATGATAACGTTAGCTAAAGCTAACCTAGCTGGCTAGCTGTATGCTACATGCTAGCACAAAGGCTCAGCTCAGGATTATGACTCTGGAATAATAAATAATAGTAGATGAAGTGCTGTTGATTGCTAATGCAGATGTAGTTTTCTGTTTTTTTAAAAACACCGGTCTGGCCTTTCACATGTTTGAAATAATATAAACAATACCTATCACACTTTTGACTGAACTTTTTTTAATATACACAGTACTTGTACTTTTACTTATACTTGTCCTTTCTATACTTGAGTAGCAATTTTTTAAATACTTCTACTTGCAATACTTAAGTACAAAAATGATGGAGTACTTCCGTACTTCCACTTAAGTATGGAGTTGAAAGAATACTTCAACTTTTACTCAAGTAATTTTTTTATATAGTACTTGTACTTCTACTCCAGTACTTCTTTGTATCCAAACTGCTCCGTTTTGCCCCAGAGCCTCCTGGTCGTCTTTCGCTGCCCTGCTTTATGAATACAAGCAGATCCGTTATATTCGTTGCTCAAATATGCAGCGGATAATAGAGAAAGACGCTCAAATAAACGCTTCATCACAGCCAGAGGGCAACTTAGCGACGGCACTCAGGTAAAAATGAAGCTCCGGAATAAAAAAAAAAAACTTTTATGCTTTTAGTTCGGACGAAAAGGTGATTTCACACAGCTTGAGGCTTTTAAAAAAAAAAAAATTTATTTTGAGTGAATAACAAGCAGAGGCTTCCTGCACCCCCCCAGCCCAGCCCCCTCTCCCCGCTTCAACCCTGTTATGCCAAATGTATCATATTTGATTCATACGGTTGCTGAAATGTTTTGCCTCTGACTCCTTTTGCATAATTTAATGGTAAAAACTTTGCTCAAAATCCTATTGTACACAATCAGATACACCTGATAACAGGGGGCAGAAGACTACACAAAAACTAATCTTGACTTATCGCATAGTAATAAATTATTAATATTAAAAATGTATTTCTGTTTTTTCTTTTTACATGTTTTGTTAAAAGGCCAAATAAGGAATTCAAACCAAAAAAAAGTAAATTTCTGTTTTGTTTTATTCTTGGATCAGCTTTTAAAGGGTTAAGGTGGTGCACAGATTAAGAACAACATGTCTATTTTCGGCACATTTTTCCCCAATAAAATGTGTCGAAACCTGTTAAAAAACTCTCCTCAAATATGCGTTAAGCTCCAACCTTTGCCATGATCTGTCTAATTCATGTTATTGTGTCAGAGTTTGGAAATATTAATGCTAAAGGACTGAGATTCACATCATGGACATCACAGCATCCCATCAGCATCACACAAACACACACACAAACATACACACACACACACACACACACACTCACACACACACTCACACACACATACTCACACACAAACACACACACACACACACACAAACACACACACACACACACACTTTTGCACAGCCAGATTTATTGTAAATGTCACACACCGACCTGATAGTGACAGAAATAGTCCACAAACAAAAATATAATAATTTCCTATTTACTTCCTGTTTCCTTCCTGTTTACTTCTACTATGCATGTTACTTTTTGGGAATTCCTTATAAAGCAGAACGTCCTCCAGTAAGTTCAACAAAGATATAAACTACCCCACTCTGGTAAAAATTGAGCGTGTTCATCTTCATCTTTTCCTTGTGGTGTGCATTTTTTCCCATTTTGAGGGTCAACTTGACGCAGAACGTTTGCTCTAATGATCTTGCTCCCGCTGGGAAACTTTTAAATCAACATGCATTCGCGTTTTTAGGAAAATACTGTAGATATTCCCTCCAGAAGCCTGTCACAGTTTCAGGTGGTGCTCAGGAATGTGAACTCCATATTTATCAGGACAAACCACATAGTGCAAACCACATTACTGGTCAATCTATCCGCCAAACTCCTATATTATATTATTATTATATCACTATTATATTATAGTAGTCAATTTCTCCCTGGAGATATTCAATTAAATTCAATTCAATATTACATACACACAACTCCTATTATATACACTGTACTTAATCTGTATTTTTTTATTTTTTTTATTTATTCTTTTGTATTTTTTTGTATTTCTTTTTATTTCTTTTTATTTCTTTTTATTTTTTTTGCTTGATTTAATTTAATTTAATTGAACTTAGGTCTAAGGAAGAGCGCACTGCCCCCTGGTGGCCGGGATGGGAATCAAACTGAAGAGCTTTGGTCACTGGGACAGTGACCACTTCTTCTTCTGCTTCTTCTTCTTCTGCTTCTTCTTCTTCTTCTGCCGGTGGCGTTTTGTGTTCTGTTGGGGGGGACGGGGATTTAACTTTGAGTTTTATAGGGTGATTAATCTGTTGTTTTTCATGTTTCAGGGTAAAATGAAGATCTCACCTTGAATTGTAGAGTGAGAGGAAAAAAAAAAAAAGTCAATAAAGTTTTTTTAAATATCAAATCTTCTTCTTCTTCTTCTGCAGGTCTTTGCAGAGGCCGTCTGCCACTTGGTGAGAGAGAAATTTGCACATCTGGCGGCCAGCTGTGCCTCTGCGTCTCCCGGTCGCGTTAAGGCTCTGGCCGGGGTCGTGATGACCAGAGGTGGGTGGGAGAAACACCACTGGAGCCAGAAAGGGAACCTTAATTTTGTTTTTTTCGATTTTACCTATTATTTTACGCAGCATCTCAGTGGATTTTGTCCAAAGAAACGTCTTTTTCTTTATTTTTTGGCCAGAATTAATATTATTATTATTATTATTATTATTATTATTATTGTTATTATTATTATTATTATTATTATCATCATCATCATCATCATTATTATTATTATTATTATTATGTTATTATTTTGTTATTATTATTATTATCATTGTTGTTGTGTTTAATGGTAATAATATATCAAAATATTTTCTTTTTTAAAACCATTTTAATTGATAATAAATCTAAAGTAATCATAATTATTTTAACCATGTGTCTCATGGCTAATCACAGACTTTTGGAACAAGCCGAATTCCCTTCTGTCAAAACAAAACCTGCTGATTTTTATTATCTTTAGGCCTCTACTGCTCACTTTGGTGACCATAACACTTTGGTTCAGGCAGTTTGGTGATTGTTTATGTTATTTTAGATATGGTCTCATTTTTCTATGCTTTATTACCTCCCACTTTGCTTTGTAACAGCCAGGAAAAAAAAGCATCACTAATGTTAGATTTTAAAATGCTGAAATTCATTTATCACAACTTTCTGACTGACTTTGAGCCATTTTACTGAAAAAAAGACTGTACATCCCCTCAATGTGCATTAAGTTTCTCAGGTTTTAAAGTAAGGATAGTAAGGCCAGTTTAGCAGAAGGGAACATCCCTCTGGTTCAGAGCTGTTTTTTCGAGTGTCAGGCTCAGGAACTCAGTCAGACGCAGAGCTTAGTCAAAAAAGCCAAAGTTTATTAACAAAAGACGCACCCAAAAGGAGTGGACAAAAAGACAAACATAAGCCGCTCCAAAAAACCGGAGGGCAAAGTACAAACTGAAAGAGGCTCTCGAAACGAGGGAAAAGTTACAAAACAATACTGATGAAAGTTACAACGTAAAGTCTCTCACGAGGAGGTAAAGGGCTGGAACAAAGTAACAAAGAAATACTCACTAGAGACGAGCGTCTAGGAGGAAAACTGAAAAGGCACTCTTAAAGAGGCAAAAACGCAGGAGGCTCAAAGGCAAAGAACGGGATCTAAGGCAAGGTTATCTATGACGAGGGAACTATGATCTAGACCAGTGTTTTTCAACCTTTTTTGACCCAAGGTACATTTTTTCATTGAAAAAATCTCGAGGCACACAACCAACCAAAAATGTTAAACAAATCTGTAGCCGGCTATAGTAACACTATAACATTATAGTTATTCTTATCTTATCTTGTGTCTTGAATGGGAATCAAATTAATACAAAAATGTATTTTTATCATATTTTGTATTTCTTCTTTCAAATTGCACTTAACATGTCCACTTCAATATACAAAATGATATACAAAATCTAGACATAAGGATTTATTACATGATTACGCCACCTGTCACTAGAACAGCACAGACACTCAAAAATTATTTGCAGATAATTAATTCCTTATCAAAAAATCTTTTTAGACCAATGAGGTGAAATAGGATGATTTTCTACGGCACACCTGACCATCACTAACGACACACTAGTGTCCCGAGGACCAGTGGTTGAAAAACACTGATCTAGACAGGCTCTGTGGTAGGGAACGAAACACACTAGCACGGGACAAAGGGAGACGAGGACTATTTAACTACATATTTAACTACATGAGGGGGGGGAACCCCAGGTGCAGACAAAAGGTAATCAGGGAGACACTCAGACTGAAACCCAACAGGAAGTGCAAGTGACCTGAAATGAGATGAGGGTTATTCTTCAAAGTAAAACAGGAAATGACGAGACTACAAAAAGACGAGACGAAAAACCCCTCAACCAGAAACACCACCGTGACACCGAGGCCTTTTTCCTCATAAAATTTTTTTGAAAAGAGAGAGAGTAGTTATAACCTTAAGGGGACACAGATTTTTAAGAAACCTAAATTCAGAACTTGTTTGAAAGAACGATGTACTTCGATACAAGGAGTCAAACTGTGGAACGACCTACAAAACGATGTTAAAAATGTTAAATCATTACACATGTTTAGAAGAATGTTAAAGATTGTTTTTTTGAAGAAGTATGAAATAGTATAAAGTCAGATTATAGTATCGTTCCGTTTTGATTGATGATTGACCTTGTTTCTTGTTCTTCCTTTGTTTTCTTTTTTTGTCACATAAGACAAATCAAAAAAATTTTTTTTTTTCTTTTTTTGTTGTTTTGATCCATAGTTGAGAAAAAGAGGCAGATATTATAAGATTATTTTCTTCTTTCTGCTACCTTTCATTTCATTTATTTTAAATTGATTTTTCTTTGTATTGAATGAAATGAATACTTTTTCTTTGTATTGAATGAAATGAATAAATAAATAAATAAATAAATAAATAAATAAATAAATAAATAAAAAAAATAAAAAAATAAAAAAAATAAAAAATAAACGCCTCCGCCTGTATCATATGACCAGTGTTGGGGAGTAACGGATTACATGTAACGACGTTACGTAATTTAATTACAAAAAAAGAGTAACTGTAATTCGTTACAGTTACAATGAGAAAATATGTAATTCAGTTACAGTTACTTCCGAAAATATTAAGAATTACAAATATAGTTACATTTACTAATATTTGACTGTTTGGTGTTGATGCATGACAAACGTTTATCGATGTCTATGACCTAGCCAGACGTTAGCCTTGAACTGCTAGCTGCGGCCAATAGCTAATAATAACATGCTAAAATTAATCATGGGTCAATACTCATTAAAACTTTAAAGTAATCAAAAAGTAATCAAAAGTAATTAGCTACATTACTTTTTTAAAGTAATCGAAAAAGTTACACTACAATTACATTTTAAACAAGGTAACTTGTAACTGTAACGGATTACATTTTACAAGTAACTTTAAAAATAATCCTGTAACCCCCAGGATTCGACCTGCGGTCGGCCCAGGTGGTGTCTCTGGCCACGGGGACCAAGTGTTCGGCCCTGGACGACGACCTCGGCCTGTTGCTAGGCGACTGCCACGCCGAAGTCGTGAGCCGACGGGCGCTGGTCCGATTCCTGCTGACTCAGCTGGAGCTGCTGCACGGTAACGGTTTTTAGGTTTAGGATTTTTTTTAGAATTACCATTTAAACGGTTTAAGTTCAGTTGAAATGTTCGATTCAGACGTAGTTTTACTCATGATTTAACCCTTTTAAAGAGTGATCCAAGAATAGAAGAAAACAGAAAATTACTTTTTTTGGGGTTTGAATTCTTTATTTGGCCTTTTAAAACAGTTTTAGGTTTAGGATTTTTTTTAGAATTACCGTTTAAACGGTTTAAGTTCTGTTGAAATGTTCGATTCAGACGTAGTTTTACTGATGATTTAACTCTTTTAAAGCCTGATCCAAGAATAGAAGAAAACAGAAAATTACTTTTTTTTGGGTTTGAAATCTTTATTTGGCCTTTTAAAACGGTTTTAGGTTTAGGATTTTTTTTAGAATTACCGTTTAAACGATTTAAATTCTGTTGAAATGTTCGATTCAGACGTAGTTTTACTCATGATTTAACCCTTTTAAAGAGTGATCCAAGAATAGAAGAAAACAGAAAATTACATTTTTTTGGGTTTGAATTCTTTATTTGGCCTTTTAAAACAGTTTTAGGTTCAGGATTTTTTTTAGAATTACCGTTTAAACGGTTTAAGTTCTGTTGAAATGTTCGATTCAGATATAGTTTTACTCATGATTTAACCCTTTTAAAGCCTGATGCAAGAATAGAACAAAACAGAAAATTGCTTTTTTTGGGGGTTTGAATTCTTTATTTGGCTTTTTAAAATATGTAAAAGGAAAAAAACGGAATAAATCTGTCTGTGCGGAAGTGTGTGTGTGTGTGTGAGTGTGTGTGTGTGAGTGTATGTATGTATGTGTGTGTGTGTGTGTGTGTGTGTGTGAGTGTATGTGAGTGTGTGTGTGTGTGTGAGTGTGTGTGTGTGTG